ATATTTTATAAATTTTATTTTTTAAAAAATTTTTTTAATTTTTTTTTATATTATCATATATTATAATATTAAAATTTAATTCTTATTAGAGTTGTTATAAATTTTAACCTCATATTTGATTTTTTATTGTTGAATTTTTTTTATGGGAAATAGAGAAATATATTAAATAATAAGAAATTATTACAGGATCTTCATCTCATGACATATAATCAAAATCAAAATAACCTAAAGACAAAATCAAAAGCATAACCTACAGCATTAGTAACAGACTTAAACTATACTCATGACGAATATAGACAATTAAACAAAGAGAGCAATCTGCAACTAAAGATTGAATTTACAATCATTGTATGGGTCAAATAGGGCTACTAATGTAAAAAGGGGAGTCACTATGAGCATTAAGAACTACTGGACATCCTCACCTATTTAACCAGCTTCTTGAGGAAAGCAAAGGATTCCGGCAACAAACAATCCTCAACCCACAAGTTGCTGCCCTACTTGTTCTTAAAGAAGAATAGCCAAGAGGGGTATGGGCCTTATCCTGACAAGCACAAGGCCCCTCAGTCACCTCCATATACTCTCAATCATGTTCCCATCTTTGTCGATCCTCTTTAAACCCATGCTGTCGAAACTCATTAAGGAAACTAGAGTCCCTTTGCCGACTTGAAAATCAAGCTTCCCACACAGACCATAGCTGGCCTTACTAATAGCATCCCTTTCCTTCGACGATTGACTAGTTGATCGAGAATTGGTCTGAATCAGATTCACTAAATTCGACCCCTACCAAGATCCCATTCGAGAGATGCACCAAAGCTAGATTCTTGCTCGTTAAATAGGAGAAACCCACTTCACCGACAAGATCAATTCTAATCGTAGCCTTCGAAAATCAACAGATGTAAACTCTAGAAAACCCAAAAAGCCGTTTCCTTGTGGTCCCTTGGGTTGGAGTTTCCAAAGCAAGACAACGACAAGAGAAAGGAGGAGATCAAGAGGAGGAAGGGAGGGGAAGAAGAAAGAAGGGATGAAAGAACTCCTATGCCAAAGAGAAACCATAGGGAGGAAAAGCCGTCGCTCTGCTCTCAACCCTAGAAGCAGTGCACAGGAGAAACCCTAGGGAGAGAAAGATTGCATTTTTAGAATGAAAATGAACTAAATTTTATTGTTGAATTTTAGTTATATTAATAAAAAATTATAAATTTTTATTATTTATTTATTAAATTTAGTAAACTTTTGATTTTATCGATTCTATTTTACGATTTCGATTTTATCTAACTAAAATGATTTTAGGTAAAATCGTGATTTTAACAACCTTGCATGCAATTATAAGATTGAATAAGAGATTTGAACATTAGATGCAACTTTAATTGGGTTTGTTTTCTATTTTTGACAAGGAAGAATTAATTTCTCCTAATCAACTTCGA